CTAAAAAGTAGGGGAATGTTTGATTTTGCCAATGTTCAAAAGTAAACAAATGATGCCATTGTCCAATAAATGTCCAACTAGCCATTCTAATATGCAGTCATGAATGGGTTGATGTTATATTATACAATTATTCCAGTATTGCAGTAGTCTACATAATAGTAAGTCTTCTATTTTTTGTTTGAATAAAAATTCAAAATAGAAAGCAAGAGTAATATCAGAGGGGCCTGGAGTACATGACTGATGAACAAAGAAAATGTTATTTTAGAGCCAGGAATGTCTGCATTGTTCATTCTGGACCTTATTTTGAAATTGTCATATTTTTTAATTTTCGTGAAATTGGCCAAATTGCAAATTTCTGACCACATTATTGGGTAGTTGAAATCGGTAAATGGGCAGTTTCTTGTACTCAATCGATAGAAAAAATGGAGTTCTAAAGAAATAGCTATGAGTTTGGTCGCCTGGAACAATGGAATTAGCCAAAAATAGGGCTCAAATTGGGCGAAATCGCCGATTTGTAAATACATCGCCGAGGTCGCTAACTTCGAGAGAGCATAATTCCGTCAGTTTTCCATCAAATTTTGTTTTTTGGTGACATTACAATCGGGAAAAGATTCTCTATCATTTCATAAGAAAAAATAATTTTTTTTTTTTTTTTTTTTTGAAATTTTGTGACACCAGGAGAGACCTCAGGATTGGGGGTTGCAACAGTCAAGGGGTTAAACTCACTTCAATCTGCATGGCATGAGCTGGATCTACCCTTATGATTGGTGCTGTAATAGTACTGCTTAAGTTGTGCTGCCTATGTTACTGCAAATTCCAGCTCTTGCAGTAGAAATAGCAGTGTGTGTATAAAACAATGAGGAGTTATTTTACCTTGCCGAATGAAGTTTCTGCTGCAGGTGATGGCTCAAGGTCCTTACACTGGAGGAAAAGCTCTTTCACTGGCCATAGCTTCTTGATTCGTTAAATCCTTGGTCTTCCTGACTAACCTATAAAAAATAAAAAGCATCATTGAAGCAAACTATGGTGTAGATATTGGTCAACTACATTAACATAATCATGGGAAGTCTCTCTCTTGTCTATTTCAGTACTATATACCACACAGTACAAACAATCAAAGAAGAGTCCCCATCTCCTCTCAATATCTTTTCCCCTTCTTTCTCAATATTTCAGTCAAATGACCCCATTTAACTGGCTAACTCTGCAACCTATGCCCTATGAACATTAAAATGGTATAAAATACCGACAGATTGTTAGGTAAGACACATATGCAACAGTTAGGTATCTTTATTTCGAAACGTTTCGCCTACACAGTAGGCCTAAATGAGGCAATGTCACATTTCACTTGAATTTTTACAATTTAGGAGAGGAATTTTCTTTTTTATAGTGTCAAGGATCAAGGATGTATGAGTGACAACCAATCAAATTTGTTATGCTGGTGAGTGTTAGATATCACTACTGTGAACGCTTAAGTAGACATATTTTGTTCATCAGGAAACAAGAAAGCGTCTCCTGACACAGGTTTTTATTAGCCAATGACCCATTCTTTGGTTAAGTATCCACTGGTCTACTGAAACCAGGTTTTCCACTCTACTAAAAAACAAAAGAATACCATACAGAGTAATGTCTTATGAACTTTTCTTTAAGTAATTGTAATTCCTATTTATTAAGCATTCTTGATACACAAAAATACTAATGCTGTGGTTCTCATGGTCTTATACCTCTAGTTTTTTCTTATAGCTTTACCCTACACACAACACATTTAAACCATACACCATGCAAACAAATTGTGGCTTGTAATGCAAGCCAGTCACAATGACACGTGCTTGCACTAGCCCAAGGGTGGGGAACCTGCAGCTTTCTAGAGTATTAAGAGCAGCCTTCTGAATGAATCAGAATTTTGCCGAAGAAATGCCACCTAAAAGGACCAAAAATATGTCAAATTAGATGGAGAGGCATGAATGATTTCATTGCAAAAACCTGAAGATGGAGAGCAAAAGTAACAGCAATTGTTCCAAGCGATGTTAGGGCTCAAAATGAATACCACTGAAGCAACCTATATAGCAGCTTATATACTTGGGAAAAGGGTAGGCCATTTATTAACATAGAAATCATAAAAATATACATTGTTGAAGCTGTAGGATGCCTAAACCTTGATATGTTTCGAAGTACAAACAACTGTCTCTTTCAAGAAGAACCGTAACTGATCATCAGCATGAATCAACCCTCAACCTAACAGAACAACTTCACGCAATAATCCAAAAGGAAAACATTTATTATTCAACTGCTCTGGATGAATCAACTGATACTACTGACTTAGTGCAGGTATTATACTTTATTTGTGCCATAACCGAGGAATTTCTTTGCTATGAATAATTGCTCACTTTGGGCACCCTTACTGGGAAGACACCTGGAAGAGATATCTCAAACAACTTTCAAGATAAATGTTGTGATGTTGGACTGAATTTGAGTAATTTAGTAAGCGTGTCTACAGACGGTGCACCTTCCATGACAGGAAAATGTAGAGGGTTTATTGCACAGCTAAAAAAAGAATTATCAGATCCAGATGGTCCCATTCCTTTCATTGTATTTTGCATCAGCAAAATCTCTGTGCAAAATCTAGTATTTTAAGTGACACTTTGCATAAAATTATACAGTAGACAATTATATTACACAGATTTATTTGCCATGTTTTGGTTATTGAACTATTGAAAAATTGCAGCACAATTTTATACAACACTTCATAAAATTAATTTAACACGGTTCTGTTTGCAGGTGTGGAAAAATATTTCCCCAGCTCAAGCTGCTGCTGTGTTACTGGTCAGCGGGGGAGACCAACGGGCACCCCCTGCCGCCCCCCCCCCACCCTTTCATGAATACACTTTTCCAGTTCCAATGTGTCTTAGGGCTAGCTGGGTTTGTAAATTCTTTTTTGACCCTTTTAATTGCCATATCTTGTATCCCCAAAACAATCACGGCACCCATTGGGCTTACGAGGGTTTGCGGGAAAGTGGCAAGAAAAGGTTTAAGCATTTTTTAGAATTAACAAAGAAAATAGAATAGGAAATCAGACAAGAGGTACCCTATGAACAAAAATGAAGCATAAATTTTGTAAAATTTAAAAAAAAAAGCGGAAAATTACGGGTTTTTTTGTAAATGAAAACTGACTTGTTGAGGACGACTTACTTGACTGACTCCCAAAATGGACTGACTTTACGACTCAAAAAGATTTTCTGACTGACGATTTGAAAAACCCTTTACTGATTTCTGACTTAAATTTTGATTTTTTTCACTAAAAAGAATTAGTCCCTCTGAAACTTTATCTAGAGCAGCTGATACCTTACCAATAGAAAAATAATGAACTAAAGGTTTTAAAACGGGAACAAAAATTTCCATTATATTTTTCCAAAAAACCCAGAAAAACCAGCCTTATTTCCAAAACCCTTTCTACCCCCCCCACCCCTTT